ATGCTTTAATTTGTTTTAATATTTAAACAGTTCATATTAAAACTTAAGTGGTAATACTAATTATAAATTTAATAAAGTAGTTTTGTAAATTTGGTACACTTTGTAATCACCTAAATAAGTAAAGCTTTATATTATCAATTCATATAGTAAAATATTTTAAACTATTTTCTAATAAATACTGCTACTGGGTAACAATTATTTCATAATGTACATCATTACATAAATTTGCTTTTTAACTTAATATTTCTGGACTGGATAACTTGCATACATCTTGTCTCAAATATATTAGTTTAAAGTTAAAGACCGATGTTATTTTTTCAGATATTAATATTCGTGTGATAATAAGTGAATCTGGTTATTGATATATTATGTATAAGGTAAGAGAAAATGTTTCTCCATATATTATATACAAATTCAATGCTTTTTTTTTTCAAAATTTAATTAAATTTAATTATAATATGTATGTGCTATTTTGTTCGAAAACTTGTTATCATCTTGTAGGGAGTGACATTATCCTGTTGCTGCAGATATTTTGAGGAATAGAATAAAATCATCATCAAAATATGCAACAGTAACGATAGCTTAGACTGTCCTCTCTTGATATTAACCTAACACTACCCAATAAATTCTAAGGAGACAGAAACAGGTGGAAATTTAAGGGTCAAAGTAAGTACTATAAAGTGGATACATTTATGTTTCCCAACCAAGCCATCAAAATTTTTGCTAAATGTCCAAAGATGAGTGTGGCCAGGTGTTATCATGATGAAAGGCCAGTCCTATATTGTTGATCGATTCCGGCCGTTTTTTTTTTCAGTTTCTTGCTTGTGTGTCATTATTTGTTGGCAATAGAGATCCAACTCGATTATTTTGCCCGGCGGTAAAAGCTTATAATAAACGGTGAACTTCCGATCCCACCATACACACTTCATCACCTTATTCCGTATTAATTCAGGTATCGCTACAGTCTGTGGAACTTGACTACCTTTTGCCTGGATATTTTTCTCATGTTCTTATCGTAGGTGAATCACTTTTCATCACTATGGATCAGTGTTTTCAACAAAAGTTCGGTTTCAGTATGTTTCAAAAGAGAATCGCAAAAGAGTACACGATTCATTAGGTTTCTTTCAGTAAGCTCTTGTGGTACCCAAATTCCGAGCTTTTTTGGATATTTGGATAGTCAGACAGAAAGGGTCAACAGTTTTGTGGTCAATCTTCAATTCCTCGGCTGTATTTTAACTAGAAACATGCGAATTTTCCACTTTTTAAAATATAGCATCGGCTTTATCCGTATGAGGGCGACCGGAGCGAGCTGCATCTTTGACAACAAAGTTTGAAAACGCTTGTACCAGCTTCGTGCTACTCTTACTGACACTGCATTGGGTCCATAAACGTCACATATTTTTATCGTGGTTTGAGTCGCATTTTTCTTTTTTTTTTTTGTAAGTAATAAAACATCATAATGTATTGAATTTCTTCGTTATGTTCACTCATTTTGGCGGTCAGAAAAATAATTAAAAAATGCCGGGAAAGTGTTTTTCCTATTTCTTTTTCTTAGAGTCCTATATGTATTGATATTAATACCAGCCAGATACAACCAGTAACAAAGAGAAACTTTTTCAATTTTATACAACACATGAAGGAACTTTTTCCCCGACCTATTAAGTGAAAATTTTAAGTCATGAAATTGTAAAATTTAAAGAAGCGTTCAGGTAACACCTCTAAATAATTGATATGTTTGTATGTGATATTAAGTACTCGTCATTTTTATACCAAGAAGACGTTCATCAGATGACAAAGATATTAATACAAGAAAATAAAACATTATTTTAAATTCTTCGATGATGATGATCGAGCAAGTAGATGAGTTTGTATATTTGGGTTGCGTATTTAGCAGGGATGGGAGATATGATAAGGATATAGAACGACGAGTGAACGCAGGAAACAGAGTAAATGGAGCCCTGCACTCTATTGTGAAGAGTCAAAATGTGTCAAAAAAGGCACGTATGGCAATTCACAATGCTGTGTTGGTCCCTACTTTAACGTATGGTAGTGAAAGTTGGGTATGGCAGAAGAAGCACGAGAGTAGAATAAATGCAGTAGAAATGCGGTCGTTAAGGAGTATGTTAGGGCTGAATCTGAATGACAGGGTGAAAAATTGTGTGATAAGAGAAGAGTGTGGTTTGCAAGATGATGTTGTGACCAGGATTAAGAAAGGAATGCTTTGGTGGTTTGGTCATGTGGAAAGAATGGATGAGGAAAGAGTGACAAAGAAAATTTATGTTGCAGAAGTGAATGGCAGAGTCGGAAAGGGACGTCCTAGGCGAAAATTTATCGACCAAATTGGCGATTTATTGAAAACGGGCCAAATTAGGAGTACCCTTAACCTCTCGTCAGTCCAAAACCTTCTAAAGGTTGCTGTCAAAAAAGTACGCATCTGTCCACAACCATCAGAAGGTTGCTGGTTACTTATAAACTTCAGATTCGAAACAGCCCTAGTAAAAGTATACGTATCTCCCTATAACTGGTACAACATGCAGAGAATTAAACAAAGACGGCAATTAATATCACACACGCTTCATAAACCAACCATAGAAGCTGTGAAATAGTAATACATTTATTCCGTTCAGTTGCTCGTTCTGTGACGCGGTGTCGTGTGTTTACGTGCAAAGTATTAATTGTTGAAAGTGATTTCGGAAGTCAATATTAAAGATAAACATGAATGGGTAAGTCATAAATACTTTTCTATTAATATAAAATATATTAGATGACGATTTGTACATAAATTGTTCCATTTTATCAAACATTGCTTGCCATTTCGACCGCCATGTTGAAACCATGATCGTATTAACTTCAATTGTTTTAAATTAAAAGTACAATTGTGAATGGTAAACATTGTCTTAATATCGTTAACATACTTATTTACAAACATAACAATAATTACAATTGTATAGTTTCTATTAAATATTTCATAAAACTAAAAATAACAAATTGCTTAAATCTCTCGTCCACCTGGCGGTTGTGGACAGACATGGGTCGTAAAGTTATTCACATGAAATCCGCCATCTTAGAGAGCAGGTTGTATAGTATGGATACGACTTTGGGAATGCCAGTGTTGGTATATTTTTACGATAATTTTTGGTGTGGATTTTTATTTGTTTCGTTTTATTTTTTTTGTCAATAAATTGTTTTACTTTTTGTATGTGCATGTCATTATATTTTTTTGCACTTGATTGACAAGTGAAACACTCTTTGTTTTCACTCTTAGCCCAAGGTTATCTGGAAGAGATTGCTTTTTGTACGTAGTAGTTTTTATTGCTAAGCAATAATCCTTAGCTCGTTGCGGTGCTATAGTTGGAATAGCCTCAAAGTACGAAACGGTCACCCATCCAGTTGCAAGCTAACGCGTGCATTGCTTAAACTTTATTATGGATCTCGCACGCAAGCTATCACTAGGCTAGGGTCACTTCAAATTAAGTAAAATTAAAAAAAATCTAAATAACAAAAATATAAATATTTATTTTGGCAAAAAGAATTGTCAAACATTTTTTATAATAACATTCAAATGTTAATTAAAAATATAAAAAGCTGTATCTATTTGTATTTCATTTTAATTTTATGTTCATGATTACAATTATTAAAGAAGTCACCACAGAAAGTATCCATACTAGCATAGCTGGGTACTACGTCATACTTGGTGCTTTTTGTAGTGAATGTGTAACTTTTAGTTGATGATTTCTAACATAATTTTGTATAAAAGATGCCTTATTTGTTTTGTTTTTAACTTTGTAAATGTTATTATATTTAGGAATGTACATTCACATGTAAATAAATTACAAAATTGTTCGTTACAAATGCAAAAGTTTGAAAGCATTTTTTTAGGGTCACTTTTTCAAGTGTTTGTTACAACTCGTTCATTTCTTAATAACTGAATAGTTGTAATATTTGAAACTGTTTATATTAAGAACAAAGACCAAACTATAGCATAAGTTAAGATTTATAGCCCATTGTGCCTCAGGTGTCGTCGATATTGAAGTACAAAATGTGCCTTCTTTTGTGCCTGTTTCGGGTCATCTTAAGTGGCCCACATTATTGTAGAGCTTGTGGTGTGAAAAAACTGTACGTAGAGTTGTGTTTTTTTTATTCATTATTGTAAAATGTGTTATCGTATAGTAAATGAAGTAAATATTTATTGAAATAATTGCTTAATTTTTAAATGATTACATTTTATATTCAACAAACTAGAAAAAAATCGCTTCTAGCAATTTTACCACCAAATTTATAACATACCAAAAGGGTGAACGTACACATTTACACATATTCTATTAGCTTATTTAACAATAATTCTAACAACATATCATATTATATAGTTCCCATACATAAATATTAAGATATTGCCATTTTAATGACACGCGCCACGTAGGCAATATAACACTCGTTTAGGGTTTGACAGATGCGCCAAAGCGGCTATTTTGGCCCGGACTGGTGAGAGGTTAACCGACGAGCATGCATGCGTAGGTGTATGGATGTGAAGGAGGCGAGAGAGGTGTGTCAGGATCGTGCCAAATGGAAGTCTGTAGTCTCTGCCTACCCCTCTGGGTGACAGGCGTGAGTGTTTATGTTTATGTTTATGTTTATGTATTTTAAATTTAAAAATGATTAGGCTACTGTGTGTATTTTTATTTGCATACTTGATATTATGAAAACAAAAACATTTTGTTTATATTTAAGAATAAACACAAACAGCCGGCATAGACATGATAATGTATTAAATAGGCATAAATATATAAATTATACATTTTCACGTAATTGATAAATAGTATATCTTAATGTGTGGCCATGTGCCATAATGCCGAAAACTTAGTACATGGAAACCTACTTTAAATATGTATGTAAAATTATTACATGAATTCATTTTAATAGCATTTTTAATAAAAATTATTTAATACTACTTATTTCAGGTATTCATAAAATTATTTCTCTCATTTTTGTACACGAAAATTTTAAAGAGCAGTTAACTCTGTTGAGATTGTTGAAAATGATGTAGTTATATTATTTTCAATATTTTTGTTATTCGATGCATTATGTTCTGGTAAAGACCATGTAGAATTCCCAGCTGCTGTTACTCTAGGACCCATATTGTCATATGCAGATTCTAGAAAACATGTTTTGCTTCGACGAGGTAAAGTTGCTCCACTTCCTAAAAAATTGGGATACTCTTCTTGGGTGTCCGATAGCTGCACTGATATAAAAATACTAGCATAAGGAGCTGGTAATTCAAACTCGCTTGGAGGTGGAGGATACATTCCAGGAGCTTCTAAAGTAATTTGGACCGTATCTACGCATCGCTGGTTTTCATCACTATCAATAGAAAGTGATCTATCCAACATTTCAAAGGCATAAGAAGATTCTAAGTCAACACTTTGCCTATCGCAACTAGCTGCTAATGATGAATCAAGTAACTTCTTTTCTTGATCAGTAAAACTTCTGCTTGTTGGTAATCTTTGACGCCTAATCTTCCAGCAGGCACAAGTGGCTATAAACCCTAGTCCAGTCATTACTAACATGGATCCTATTACTAGAATAAATAAGGAATACTCTGGTGCAGCGCGAGCGGTTGCCGCACGCGCTTTAGGTAAATATAGTGTCACAAATGCACTAGATTCACCAGCAGAACTTTTTGCGCGACATTTCCACTCTCCTGAAAATTTTTCTGTTACGTTACTTATAGTTACATTAACCCACTGTGAACTTTTGTTAATAATGTCATTATTGAACTCGTCTTGATTGTTAATTTTGTATATGTTAATGCAAATTTTACTTTTATCAGAAGTAAAATTTTGAATTTCTTTATGGTGGAACAACCATGATACAACTGGTCTTGGATCTCCATTCACGAAGCACCCAAATGTGATATCAGCTCCAACTTCTGTTCTCAGCACGGAAGGACTTGATACTACCGTCGGAGGGCAGCTCATTTCTGACCCTTTGAGATCACGCCATGATGATTGAGCATGAATATTTGGTCCAGCACATAACACTTCTTCACTGCCAAGATTCGCATTGATAAACCACTCGTGAAAATCTCGTAATCTGCAGTCACAGAACCAAGGGTTTTCAGATAATGTTAAAGTTTTCAATAGTGGTAAGTTAAATGTATTAGGATGAATGTAGGATAATAAATTTTGTTGTACATGTATTGTTTCCATAGCTCTTAAATTTTTAAATGCAAATGGATGAATTTTTCGAAGCCGACATCGTGAAACTTCCAGTCTTTTTAGATGCTGTAATGGGGGAAATTGCTGTGCTACAAATTCTTTAAAACGATTATCATTAAGCACTAAAAGTCTTAATCGATCGTTGCCTATAAATGTATCAGGCGAAAGTTGAATAAGTTCGTTCTGTGAAAGATCTAGTTCTATTAGTATTCGTAGTTCTCTGAAAGCATCTTTGTGAATTTTCTGTAATTTTGTCGCACTTAAATTTAATCGTTGTAAATTTAATAAATCTATGCTTGCAAATGCGTCCTTGTTTAGTTCCACTAATGGATTTTCGTGTAAATCCAGAACCTGAATATCTGCTGATAATCGCGGCAAATGTGTTAATGCTGCTGATATACATGAAGCTGTCTTCTTTCCTGATGCCCACTTGCAGTGACATTCAACAATATAAGCACAATTAAGCCAATCACATCCCAATTGATTTAGAAAAATAATGATTAACCAGGACGCACACAATATATCTCGAATGTCCATTTCATATCAAACTCCTTTCTTCTCATCAATCTGTAACAAAAAAAATTGATTGTAAAATAAAAAATTTGTTGCCAAAACAATTAATTTTTATATTTTCTATATAAACTTAAAAAGTGAATATTCAGCGCAAATCTTAAATTCAAATAATAGTTATAACTTTTATACATAGTAGAGCCATGCTTTATCCATATTAAGATAAATTATGGTTGTTACACGAATGGGTCAGCTCAAACGAGGAAGTACAATGCTCTAAGAGATTATCAGCATAAAATAGGACCTTAATGTAAGAACATCATAATTGTTGGTGAGTGTTGAAAACCAGAGATCCTTTTCACTGAAAACTTTAGTCCTCAGTGGTGACAATACATCTGCAATTTGATGTTTAATCGAGGGTAGATACTTATTATCATGTCGGCTTTGTTCTAATTTGAAACCCATTTTCTAGCCTAGCTTACGCCTCTTATCTTTATTTTGCATCAGTTGGGATCTAAGTCAAACATACTAAATTTACATCCTATATACATCCCACTCTTGGGCAGAGGCTTGTTCTTATAACTCAGAGGATTTTACGGCAAAGAAGCATAAACCGCTCTTCCCTAATGTGTTTTTAATTACTTTTTAAAATTATTTTTTAATTTAGGGACTACTCATTATACCTTATAAATAAATAACAGAATACAATTTAGTTACTTATACAAAATACTAACTAAGTGATACACCATTTGCAAGCACTTGACAGTGGTTCAGAGAGAATAATTTGATATTCACCTATGCTACATATTTTAATATCAGTTTTGGCGATTAGTAGTTTCCTTTTGTGAAGGTTTTTGGAACATTTCGCAAGCAAGTGTTGTATAACTTCTATTGTCTTGCATGTTTCGCAATTTGGATATTATTCCTTTTTGAACTTGAAAGCAAATTTGTTACATGGAATGTGTCCGAAACGAAGTTGCATTGATAATACAATAGATTTTTTATTCAATAGACATTGATTAAACCAAAGCCCTTTCGGAGGCTGACTTTTTTTACAGGAGAGGGGGCAAACGAGCATACGGCTCACTTGATGGTAACACTAGGGGGATTGCAAATGCGTTGCTGGCCTTTTAAAAAGGAATAGGCTCTTTTCTTGAAGGTCCCTAAGTCGTATCGGTCTGGAAAAATCTCTGGTGGTAGTTGATTCCACAAGTTGTGTGAGGAAGAAAACTTCCTTTATATTTCTTAGTAGTGGACCGCCAGTCATCCACATAGTATAGATGGTATCGCGAGTTTTGTCGCGATGTACGATGGTTAAACTGTGCGGATGGAATTAGTCCGAACAATTCCTCAGAGCAGTTTTGTATATTTGAATATATTTGTACCTTTTTTGTAACCTTTTATCAAAATATTCTTTCCAGAGTGTATAATGTTTCTCTTTGTATTTAATTTAAATTACTGAATAATCTGGATAAATATTATATTCTCTTCTTTTGGTAATTGCCAATTTTGCCACCTTTTTTATCAGCCTCCATTTTTTTAATTAAGTTATATAAACGGTTGTGTGACAGGTACCTAAATTTTTAAAAAATTTATGCAATACTAACTCACGGTTCTTACATTGAAGTTAAAGTTAAATTAAGTTACAATGAAGTACAAGAAATATTTTACTTAATATCGAATATGCTATCGATACACCTCTGAGACCAGAGACGCATCAAACATATGTCCAAGAGCACTCTTGGTATCACTTAGAATGACTTTTTTTTTTGAAAATTTGTTGTACCAGTATATAGTACGGCATCATTTGTAGCAATTAATTCAGTTAACATTATCGTCAAATTATTTGGATTTTAAATTTTGTGGCATTACTTGGGGGAGGCCTATGTTCAGCAGTGGACTTGTGAAGGGCTGTTATGATGATGATGATGATGATAATGAATTGTAAATCATAAAATAAGAAATTTAATCGAATCCGGGGGATGTATCTTTCTTTTTTAAACAATTTCCGAATTCCTGAATAGTGAAGTTAACTTCGAATTGTTCATTTACTGACGCAAATTTTGGCATTTTAGGCAATATCGAAGTCGGAGTAAGATTAAATAGCTCTTTCAGTTTTTTTTTCAATAGGATAACATTTGTTGGACCTGAGTTCCTTTACCGAACGTATTTTATTCCATAAAACAGACGTGTTTGCAGATTCATTAAAACTATTGCAAATGTTTTTTCAATAATTAAATTTAGCGTCTCTAACTATTTTTCAACTTTTTGCCACTTTTCTTGTAATTTAAAGAGGTTTAAAGGTGTGGGATTTCTTCTTAAAGTTTTTAAGGCTAGCCTGCGTTGTGCATTAATTTTAATAACGATCGGTTCAATACACTTTTGGTTTAAAATGTTTTTCTAGGTCACTACAGATTTTAGTTACAGGAATGTGTTCATTCGCAGTTCTTTTTATATCTTCACCTGTCCTTACGGGGTTTTGAAATGACGATACAAGATCTCTTTAATAAGAAGAGCAGTCAGCTGATGAGAATTATCTTTTCCATCCATAATTTAGGACATCTTTGATTTTAATATAAGATTTATTAATCAAATGATCACTACCGGGATTTTCGTTAGTTATATCCCATTTAAAGTATATAACGATATCCAAAGACACAAATTTTATATTAGGTGAAGATTTTTGTAAACAACCATTTACAAGTTTAATTCTGGTAGCTTCTCCGTTATTTATTGATATGAAATCGAAATCCAAGGAACTGTATAATAATTGTGCCTCCCTAGTGTCAATTTTATTGGACCAGTTGGTGTGATGCCTATTAAAATCTCCTCCAATGACACATTTGCGTGGTCAAATGGCAAAAATGTTATTCATGTCAACTGAAGAGGATCTAAAAGAAGATGGGCAGTAAATAGATAATGTATTTTCAAGAAACTTTTAGTTGAAGATTTTTACATAAGCTAATTCTAAGCCCGTATTGCTTGTACTTATTGAATATTGATGCGATTTAATTGACTTATCATTGTAGCTACACCGCCATGTGAGTCGCATTTATCTTTCCTAAAAATGGTATATTCACTTATTCCTAGAGGCGAGCCCTTAGCTAACCACGTTTCACACACAATCGATATAATATATATTTTCTTGTACCAACAGGGATTCAAAATTAACTATTTTGGGCCAAATACTTTGTGCATTCCACTGGAGTACAGTCAGCGTAAATTCCTATGATGTACTATCCATTAACTGCATTTAAAAGTTTCTTTTAGTGTTAATTGAAAGAGTTATGAAAGAAACTGATGGAAAAATTTGGGATGTGCAAGCGGGTTTTCGAAAGGGTATGGAGTGTACAGATCAAGTCTTTTCCATGCGCATGATTGCGGAGAAGTTTTTGGCTAAAAAGCAGAAAGTTTTTTGTGCGTTCATGGACTTGGAAAAGGCTTATGACAGAGTGGACAGGAATGTGTTATGGCAAACACTGAACTCATATGGGTTGAGCGCTGGTTTGATACAGGCATTGAGGTCTCTTTATAGGGATTCTAGTGCTTGTGTCAGGATCAATGGGGTCTACTCGGACTGGTTTGGCATCCGAAAAGGTGTCAGACAGGGCTATGTGGCTTCCCCTTGGCTGTTCAACCTATTTATGGACAGGTGTTTGCAAACTTTGAAAGATGAAGAATGTGGGTTAAGAATGGGCGAGTTAACCATCAAATGCCTTTTATATGCCGATGATCAAGTCATATTTGCGTCGTCGGCGGCTGAGTTGCAAATGATGGTTACACTAATGAACTGGGCATTAAAAGAGAGGGGAATGAGAGTGAACGCAAGTAAGACGAAAGTGATGGTTTTTGAAAGAGAGGAAAGCAAAACGGTATGTGAAATAAGAATAGAAGGAGAGTTAATTGAGCAAGTGGATGAGTTTGTGTATTTGGGATGTGTATTTAGCAGGGATGGTAGATATGATAAGGATATAGAACGACGAGTAAATGCAGGGAATAGAGTGAATGGGGCACTACACTCTATTGTGAAGAACCAGAATGTATTAAAAAAAGGCACGTATGGTAATTCATAATGCTGAGAATAGAAGGAGAGTTAATTGAGCAAGTGAATGAGTTTGTGTATTTGGGATGTGTATTTAGCAGGGATGGTAGATATGATAAGGATATAGAACGACGAGTAAATGCAGGGAATAGAGTGAATGGGGCACTACACTCTATTGTGAAGAACCAGAATGTATCAAAAAAGGCACGTATGGTAATTCATAATGCTGTGTTAGTCCCTACTTTAATGTATGGTAGTGAAAGCTGGGTGTGGCAGAAGAAGCACGGAAGTAGAATAAATGCTGTAGAAATGCGGTCTTTAAGGAGTATGTTAGGGTTGAATCTGAATGACAGGGCGATAAATTGCGTGATAAGAGATAAATGTGGTATGCAAGATGATGTTGTGAACAGGATTAAGAAAGGAATGCTTCGGTGGTTTG